ATCACTTGTTCTGTGTCTGAGAGCTAGACAATGAATAAAGATAACAGAAAAGAACTGATGCCTTAGAAATGTGGTGTTGGAGAAGAGTACTGAGTATCTCATGGACTACCAAAAGAACAAACGTAAATCTTGGAGAAAGTACACCCAGAGTACTCCTTGGAAACAAAGGTGACAAAACTTTGTCTCACATACTTTGGACATGTTGTTAAAAGAGGCTATTCTTTGAAGGGAAACATCATGGTTGGAAAGTTGGAGGGTCGCTAAAAGAAGGGAGACCCTCAACCCGATGGTGCAATGGGCTCAAACATGTCAGATATTAAAAGGATGGCACAGGAAAGCACAGAGCTCAGATCTGTTGTTCATAAGGTTCCATGAGTTATATCCCACTCAACGCCACCTAACAACAATCTCAACCTCTATCATATTCTCCTTCGTTGGAGATATCCATGGGCATCTACCACATTTGTCCTTAACTGCTTCTTGTGCCCAGTTGCTCTTTTCATTCCTCAAGGAGGGTTGTTGTTATGTGGCATTGAGTCACCTGCAACTCTTAGTGACTCCACACTCTGAACTCTGACCTAACCTGAGCCAGTCTGTCTCTGACATACTTACCATCATTACCCCAGTTACTGTATCAACCCATCTTATCCAGTCTCTTCCTCTCCTGCACTGTCCCACACCTTTCCAAGCATGATGTCCTTCTCCAAGGACTGATTCCTCCTGGCAGCATGCCCAAAGTGTGTGAGACAGTACATCCAAATCCTTGCCTCCAACGAGCAGCTTGGTTTCACCCTTTCCAGGACAGACCTGTTTGTTTTCTTGGCAGTCCAGGAGATGTTCAATATTCTTCTCCAGCATCACAACTCAAAAGCATCAATCCTTTTTCTCTCATCCTTAGTCATTGTGTAGCTCCCTAACATATAGTAAATATTGTGAAGACCATGGCCTGGAACAGATACACCTTAGTCTCTAGATTGACATCCTTGCTCATCAGCACTCTGGAGAGGTTCCTGACAGATTAGTTTCCCAATGCAATCTGTCTTTTGGTTTCCTCACTGCTAGTGCCAAGAGTGTTGATTGTGGCATTGAACAAGCTGAAATGAACAATTTCAATCTCTTCTCCATCTATCATGGTACTGCCAATTGGGCCAGTGGTGAGAATCTTTATTTGATGTTGAGCTCCAAACTATATTGAAGACCACAGTCCTTAACCTTCTGGAACAAATGTTTCTGGTTCTACTCAAAGAGGATAGATGTGTAGATTTAAGACACAAAAATAGGTAGTTTACAACACATTTTTGGTAACAATTCATAACAATGTTAAACTAACATTGAGTTTTACATATTTCTGAGGATCACAGGATAGGACAGGGTTCAGAAAGATCTGTCGTTCAGAGTTACTATGAATCTTACTCAACTCCATACCGCCTAACAACAACAAAGCTGTCCTTTTCCACGGAAAGGCTGGAATTTCAGATATTTTGTCATTCAGATATTATCAGCTCTGGTGCCAGGCCAAACAAACTGATTCGGTAACAACTTTTACTTCTATAAATAAGTGGTTGGCATGCAGAGATGCTTCCGAGAGGGCAGGTTCTGGGTGTCACCCACACAGAAGGAGACGACTTCCTTTCACGTGGGAGGAGTCAAAGAGCACTGACCTCTGGTCTGAAGTGCCCAGAAACCTCGAGGCCTTCTGTGCCAACAGCTTCTCTCTTTGCAGAGAGCTTCTGATCCCATCACACCAACCTAGCCAGCTCCCCAGTGTTCTCCCGGAACTCAGTGTACGACCTCCGAGAGGCGATTGGAAGGCGACAGCGTGCGTCCGGATGGCGGCGACTGTGGTGGTGGAGCCCGCGGGCCTCTGCTGCTGGGACGAGCCGGTGCGCATCGTGGTGCGCGGCCTGGCCTCAGAGCAGCCGGTCACACTGCGCGCGTCCCTGCGCGACGAGAAGGGCGCGCTCTTCCGGGCCCACGCGCGCTACTGCGCGGACCGCGGAGGCGAGCTCGACCTGACGCGCACGCCCGCGCTGGGTGGCAGCTTCGCGGGGCTCGAGCCCATGGGGCTCATCTGGGCCCTGGAGCCCGAAAAGCCCTTTTGGCGATTTTTAAAGCGAGACGTGCAGACGCCCTATGAGGTGGAGCTGGAGGTGCTGGAGGGCCATGACCCGGAGCCACAGCGGGCCCTGGGCCGCGCGGTGTTGGAGCGTCACTTCTTACCTCCGGGCGTGCGGAGGAAGCCGGTGCGCGCGGGCCGGGTGCGCGCCACGCTCTTCCTGCCGCCAGGTGAGCAGGGGCAGCGTGGCGTGGGTGGAGGGAGCAGGAGTCCTGTGGACTGAGGCGCTCCTACTTTGCATTCCTGAAGGGCAAGGATTGGAAACTACTAGCTGCTTTGCAGGAGACTAGATGTGTCAACTGGCCTCAATGCCCCTGAGTCTCCATGGGACAGTTACATCTGCGCTGCCTTGTAGAGTCTCTGAGTCGGAATCAATTCTATGGCAGTGGAATTGGCTAGGTCCCACAAATCATGGTTCAGACTTCATTGTCTTCCACACCTGTAACTATCTTTAGGTATATTGCTTTTTTTTTCCTCCTCTCTTAACCAGCCTTTTTTTCTCCTCATAACATTTGAAATAGAAGTACACAAAAACAAGAGTTGATGCAGCACTACATAAAACTTTACCTTAGATTTTAATTCTATATCAGGGGTCATTTAATATGAAGAAGTAGCACTAAATCATGAAATTCCACTTTCTACAATGCATTTCAGCAGAATGAACTACATTAATGCCAGAAGTTCAAGCAGGATTTAGAAGAGGCTGTGCCACCAGGGATATCATTGCTGATGTCAGACGGATCCTGGCTGAAAGCAGAGAATACCAGAAGAATGTCTGTTTGTACTTTATTGACTATGCAAAGGCATTTGACTGTGTGGATCATAACAAGTTATGGCTAACATGGAGAAAATGGGAATTCCAAAGCACTTAATTGTGCTCATGTGAAACTTAGACCAGGAAGCTGTTGTGAGAACAGAGCAAAGGAACACACTATGTGGTTTAAAATTGGGAAGGGAGTGTGTCAGTCAGAGTTGTATTTTCTCTCCATACTGTCCAATCTGTATGCTGAGCAAACTACTCGAGTAGCTGCACTCTATAAAGTAGAATGTGGCATCAGGATCCAAGGGAGACTCATCAATAACCTGCATTATGCAGATGACACAGCTTTGTTGCTGAAAGTGAGGAGAACTTAAAGCACTTGTTGCAGAAAAATCAAAGAATACAGCCTTCAGTATAGATTACCTCTCAATGTCAAAACAAAGATTCTTACTGGACCAATAGGCAACACAGTGATAGATGAAGAAAAGATTAAAACTCTCAACAACTGCATTTTGCTTGGATCCACAATTAACACCCTTGGTCCCAGGAGTCAGGAAATCAGGAGACATATTGTACTAGGGAAGTCTGCAGATAGGGACCTCTCCAAATTATTGATGATGATGATGATGATGTCAGTTTGAGAGCTAAGGTGCGTCTGATTCAGGCCATGGTCTTTCCGATCACTTGCTATGCATTTGAGAGCTGGACAATGAATAAGAATGACAGAAAGGAATTGATGCCTTGGAGCTGTGATGTTGGAGGAGAGAGCTGAACATCCCATGGATGCCAACAGAACAAACACACACATTTTGGAGAGAGTGTAGCCATGGTGCTGTTTGGAGGCTTCGCCTCACATACTTCAGGCATGTTGCTAGGAGAGGGACATGATGCTTGGAAAAGTAGAGAGTTGGAGAAGGAGAGGAAGACCCTTGACCAGGTGGATTGACGTAGTGAGTGCCACAAATGGGCTTTACTGTGTAAGAAAGTTTGAGGATAGCACAGGAGAGAACAGGGCTAGGACCTGTTCATAAGGTTGCTATGGGTGGAGTCTATCAACAAGGACAATATAGTAATTAACAAGAAATGTTAATACCCACCTTTACAACAGTTAATGAGTCTTAGAACCTTTGTAGCTAAATTATCAGTCATTTGGAGGTTAAATCACTAGTAAGAAGATCTTTTGTGTTAGCTTTTCCTTCCCTCAGAGAGCTCATATTACTTTTCAGCAGTCACTGAGTTACTATTCTCTTTCCTTTGATTCACCAAACCCATAGCCCTTGAGAAACCTTTAAGGATAGAGTAGAACTGTCCCAAAGAGTTTCCAAGGCTGTAAATATTTTCAAAAGCAAAGTGCCTCCTTTTTGTCTGGAGGAAGTACACAAAGCTCATTTATCTCCCAAGACGACTTGTGTGGATTCAAACCAGCCACCTGTAGGTTAGCAGCAGAGATTCCTGTGGGCTGCATCACCAGTAGTCCCCAATGGCTAGTGGATTACAATTGCCGGCTTTGATTGGCAGTCCAATTCTTTACCAGTGGCGTCTTCACGGCTCCACTTTGATTCACAGGAACTCACACAATAATTTTAAAAGGTTTCTTACAGAAATTCTTCAAGTTGTATGATGCCTTTGTTTTATAATACTGCCTCTTCTAGGACCTGGACCTTTCCCAGGAATCATTGACATCTTTGGTGTAGGAGGCGGCCTGTTTGAATACCGAGCCAGCCTTCTAGCTGGCCATGGCTTTGCTACCTTGGCGCTAGCGTATTACGATTATGAAGATCTCCCCAAGACATATGACACAGTACACGTGGGATACTTTGAAGAAGCCCTGAACTTCATGCTTCAGCATCCTCAGGTTCTCCAAATGTTTGTTGTCCTCCCCCACTCCCCTTTAATCAGTCTTTCTGAAACCGTCTCCAGAGAGGGTGTGGCTTGACACACACCTGCACCAGGTACAATGCTCTCCTTGCCCAGAAGAGATTCTTGGGGAGACTTCCTTGGCTTTTAGAGCTTCTTATTTCCACTTTCTCTATCAAATGGTTTTAATAATGTAGAGTTAATCATCAAATCCATGTGAGAGTATTTCAACTCCTTTTGTAACGCAAATGAAGCTAATGTATCTTTGGATGCTTGTGTCTCATTTTTCGTTTTCTGATATTAGTTCATGGTTTTCTTATCAGCAGTTGATCAAAGTGGCTAAGAAGTACTCATTTGAACTTTGAAGTGTGACTCTGTTTCTGTGAAGTTAATAATTTCCCAGTATGGTTAGATGGGATCTGGTGGATTATTTATTCCCTTCTAGGAACAGAACTTGGTTCCACACAGTATTGGATACTCATCCACTTAACGACCTGAACCACGCCTACCTGAATAAGGCAACCCTTAACATCCCAAATTTGACAGATTTCTAACACAGCATTCTCTAGTGATTATCTGGAATGTTTCAAACCAGTTCCCAATTTTGCCATGGTATTTAAGATTTATTTGCCAATTGTTCACCCCGATGATCTTTATGTGAGATAAATCCTGTCAGCTGAGGTTAATTATCTTGGAGCCAATTCACAAATTTAGTAGCACTGATAATTTTGTTGTTGTTGTTAGGTGCCGTCGAGTCGAGGATGACACATAGTGACCCTATGAACAACAGATCTGAACCCTGTTGTATCCTGCACCATCCTCACACTTTCTGACACACAAGAGCCCAAAGCAGTAGTCTCTTTGTCAGTCCACCTGGTTGAGGGTCCTCCTCTCCTCTGCCAACACTTGTAAGACAAAAAAAAAAAATTTGTATAGGTTCTTGATACTTCTCCCTTTTTTTCTTGCAGGTGAAGGGCCCAGGCATTGGGCTTCTGGGCATCTCTCTAGAGGCTAATATTTGCCTTTTCATGGCCTCGTTCTTGAAGAATGTCTCAGCCACAGTTTCTATCAATGGATCTTTATTTTGTATGAACTCAACTATACAGTACAAAGAGACAGTCATCCCACCATTGGGCCATGACCTGAGAAGAATCAAGGTCACTTTCTCAGGCATCCTGGATATTGTGGACATTCGGAATACTATCATAGGAGGGTGTGAGCACCCCAGCATGCTTCCAATAGAGAAGGCCCAGGGGCCCATCCTCTTCATTGTTGGTCAGGATGATCATAACTGGAGGAGTGAGAGTTTTGCCCAGTTAGCCACTGAACGGTTACAGACCCATGGAAAGGAGAAACCCCAGATCATATCTTACCCTGGGACTGGCCATTACATTGAGCCTCCTTACTTCCCCATGTGCCCAGCTTCCTTGCACAGATTATTGGACAAACCTGTGCTCTGGGGTGGGGAGGCCAGGGCACATGGCAAAGCCCAGGTGGATGCTTGGAAACAAATTCTAACCTTCTTCTACCAACACCTTGGAGCTTCTCCTAGATTATAATGCATTGCTTTGTTGTTGGTATGAGAGAGTCAAAATTAGATCGTAGTGTTCAATAACGATATGTGAATCACTTCTCCCTGGACAACATTAAATTCACATTAATTATGTATCCATGGAAACTTTCTGAGTTTTAATTTTTCATTCATTTTACTATGTAACACAAAAATTCAATCAAAGATATGTAACGTAAGAATAGGCAATTCAACTTTTGTCACTCTTGTTTTTCTAGATATTTTTCTTAACACCTTGTATCAGATGTAAGCATTAAAGCTAAGCAAACCTTCGGTTACCGCCTATATGACTGAGAGAGAATGGCCACCCATTGCTTTCTATTCACTGCTAAGTTTCTGGGTGCTTGTTGTGTATATTATCTAGTTAGAACCGACTCATGACTGACCCTCAGTGTGTTTTCATGTGATAAAAATTGCACGGGAGGTGACTGCTTATTCATCTTACCTGGAGGAGCTAATGGATTTGAACCAACTGACTTTGGGTTAGTAGTGTAATTCCCTAACCTCTAGGCCACTGGAGCTCCCTCAACTAGTGGTAGCAGGGTAGAATTTTCTTTGTTCATTAGTGCATGGAGGGGTGTTGATATAAGGATGCTCAAACCTACCTTTTTATCATGGAAAACAGAAAAAAAACACCCAAAAACAAAAAGCCTTTGAGAGGAGGAGGAAATAAAGACCAACTTTTGCTGGAATAGTTAAGCTCAACTTTGCTCTAAGGGTAAGTGACTGTGATGAATTTTCCCTTTTAATTTTAGCCCGAAGATCAACCCACTCACCTCAGCTGTCAAGTTGCCAGCTCTTACCCACCTGCCACTGGGTTCTAAAGGCTCTAAATCTTGGTGGGAAGAGACTGCCCATCTTTCATCAGAGCAGCTGGTGGATTCTAACTGCTGACCTGGTTAGCAGGGCTCCTTAGGTCTATGAATCTCAATTCAAACTCATTGCTGCAGTCAGAAGCACCTCATAGTTGGGTTGTCAGAGGCTGTAAATGGCACAGGAAGGGATTGCCCATCTTTCTCCTGAGGAGCTGTGGGTGGGATCAGACAGCTCAAGAGGTGCCCCCTTTGGGTTGGCAGTGCTGAACTCTGCTACCACGGCTCCTTTGCCTTAACGGTATAGAGAAAATGGTCTAACACATGTGGAGGCCATGTATTTCCTAGATTCTTTGACATCAGGGCTAAACACTGTTATTTATGAGGATTCAACTTTACTGAGAGGTTAAACTAGAGAGAATAAAGAGTTACGGAGGAGTGCCTGCTTCAGCAGCGCATATACTAAACCCAGAATGATACAGAGAAGATTATTAGCGTGGCCCCTGTGCAAGGATGACATGCAAATTCGTGAAGCTTTCCATAGTTTTCTAACAGCATATTGAATGGTAAGAAAAGTGGAAAACATTTATATTTGAAAATTAAAGACCATTATTATTACCAAAAAAGCGTTATGGAGGAAAAAAATTGAAAATAAGGGTAAATGTTATTTTTCTTTTTATAATTTTTTGTGATTTTAATGAAAGTTTACAGAATATTTGAATTTCCATTCATTCATTGTTGCACATTTTCCTCCCTACCCCCGCATCCCCAGTTCACTTTTCTCTTTAAAAAAGTCATTGTTGCACAATTTCCTCCCTCCCCCTTAGCCTAGTCCACTTTGCTATGCATCTCTTATTTTGGACTGTTGTCATGCAAATAATGCCTAATCATATATTCTTTTTAAATAATTCTTTCCCTCATCTATTCCAATGCAGTGTTCATTATTTACCTTCTCTTTTCTTAGTTTCTCCCCAACCCTCAATGTCAGTCCAGTTTTATAACAGTGGTATCTATGCAGTATTTGTCCTTTTGTGACAGATATTTCACTCAACATAATGTCCTCTAGGGTTACCCATTTTGTATATTTTGTGAGTTCCTTGTTTTTCAGTACTGCATAGTATTCTATTGTGTGAATACACCACAGCTTCTCTATCCATTCATTTGTTGATGGGCATTTGGGTTGCTTCTATCTCTGATGTTGTGAACAATGCAGCAGAAAACATGGGTGTGCATTATAACTGTCTGGGTGGCAGTTCTGGGTTCTTTAGGGTATATTCCCAGTAGTGGAATTGCTGGGTCAAATGATATTTCTATTTCCAACTTTTTGAGAAAGTGCCTTACTGCCTTCCATAGTGGTTGCACCATTTTACACTACCACCAACAGTGAATAAAGATTCCAATTTCTCCACAACCTTGCCAGCATTTGTTGTTAGCTGCTGTATTAAACTTTGCTATTGTTACTGGGATGAGATGTTATCTCATAGTTGTTTTGTAAATGTTATGTTTCTCATAGTCCATGGACAAAGCTTTTGCAGTCTTTCAATGAGCATTTCCCACATCCCTGTACATTCAATCACAGAGCCTCAGGATCATGCTCTGGGCCTCCAGTGAGGCCATCAAGAATGGATGTTGTACATCCCACTTCTGGAGATCATTGGACAAGATTTTCACTGAGGGAGAACTACAGATAAGGGTCTTTGTTTTTCTCAAGGTTAGTGGAGTTATTTTAAAAAATATATATATATTATATATTTTTACACACACACACACACACACACACATCTTCCAAAGGTATATTGAGGCCATAAGGGAAAAGAGAATTTTTTTCTCCTTGTCTTCATTGTGTATAAGACAGTCTATGCCCCAGCAAAGGCTTTATATTTCATCCTATTGCTCATCTATGCTAATTCCTTTTGGTTCATTATTCTACTTCTGTTCATTGCACCATCCATCTCTCTATATAAGAGAAAATTTTGTCCTCTGAGCCCCTCAGGTTGTCCTGCTTGGGTAACACAAGTGGTTAAACACTCAGCTACTAACAGAAATTTTGGCTGTTCAAGACCACCCAGAGACACCAAAGAAGGAAGACCTGGAGATCGGCTTCTGAAAGGCCACAGCTATGCATATTCCCCGTGGAGCTCAATTTACCCTGAAGCGCAGGGGCTTCCAAGTGTTGGCGCTCAGTTGCAACTGTTTTCTTCCTTTGTTTTAAGGGGTTGGGTGCCAAATACGAGAAATCACTAAACCATTTCTGTGAGCTTTAGCAGCTGTGACTGCTTTCTAGGCCTTGAGTAACTTCTTAGACAAAGAAACACCTCCCTCAGCCTTCCTGGGTTGAGGCTATGGGTGTTTTAGGCTTCCTGTTACATGTACTTAAGAATACTGTTGTACTGCAATCCCAGAGGAACATGGTTCGAATCCACCAGACGCTCTGCCGGAGAAGGAGGCGCAATATCCTCCTGTACCAGTCAGATCTGATTTGACGGTATACACGTACACAAAATAAAAATAAAAAAAAAAGAAAAGAATACTGTTGTTGTTCTTAGTTGCTATCGAGTCAAGAGTGACTCAGAGACCCTATGAACAGCCATCCTGAACCCTGCACTATCCTGTGCCTCCTCTTCATCTCTGACACACTAGATCCAGTACAAAGTCACATCTCGTTTGAGGTCTTCCTCTTTTCCCCTGACTCTACAGTTTCCCAAGCTTGATATCCCTTTCCAAGAAAGAGCCTCACCTAGCTACATGTCCACAGTATGAAAGACAAAGCTTCACCTTCTTTGCTTCCAAAATGCACTCTAGCTACACTTTTGTAGCTACGTATGTTTCTTCTTTTGACAGTCCAGGGGATATTCAGTACTCTTCTATAACACCACAACTCACAGGCATCAATTCTTCTGTCATCTTGATTCATTGTCCAGCTTTCTAATGCATAGCAGGTGATTGAGAAGACTTTGGCCTGAATCTGGGGCACCTTAGTCTTTAAACTGAAATCATTGCTCTTAACCATTCTGGAGAGATCCCTGACAGCAGATTTGCCCAAGGAATTACATCTCCTGATTTCCAATATTATTGGGTAGCCCCCCCCCCAAAAAAAATGGAGAGAGAGAAGGTAAAGTGTTTAACTGAGAGAAGCTGAGTTCTCCAGGACCTGGCCTGGTTCCTCTTTTTACAGTCTATCTAAGCAGCTTCATGCATTCTTATGACTTTTAATGCAGTCTATGTGTCGGAGAGGATAGGGTTCAGATCTGTTCATAGGGTTGCTCTGAGTTGACAGCACCCAACAACAGCAATAACAACATGTGTTGACAGTCCCAAATTTATATTTCTTGCCTAAAAATTCCTTCTGAACTCTAGAGCAGTATGTATAAGTATCTTCTGCTAGCTCCATTTATTTGTTACAGAAAAGTCCAAAACTGGGCTCTTTATATCTGTTTTTCCTCTTTCTTCCAAATGCAACTGAAAGCTGCTCCAAAATACATACAGAGATAAATAAGCCCATCTCCCTTTCCTCCTTGCTATCTGCTTGGAACTGACTCATAACTGATGGAGGCTGTAACTTGCATGAGAGGAGACTGACAGTTTTTCTCCTAAGGAACTGCTGGTGGGTCCAAACCACCAGAGAAGTGAAAGCAGAGAAGCTCACTACGGACTATGCTATCAGAGCTCCTCAGTAAATAATATCACCGAAAACCCAATTGTTCAAACCCAAAATTCTTGATTTCTTTCTCAATTTCTATGTCTATTCCATCTACGAGTCCTAGAGTTTCTATCTCAATGCTATAACTCCTGTGTTTCAAGGATCTTTCCAAAGTACTACGAAGTGGTGATGCCAGTTTGAAGACTCAGGTGCATCTGATTCAGGCTTGAGCTTTTAAATCATTTGCTGTGCATCTGACACAGACTCAACTCCTAGCCATCAAATTGGAATCAACTAGTAGATGATTCTCCAGCAGGTTTTCAGAGGCTCTGAATCACACAGGAGGACTACAGCTTTCTCTTGCACAGCAGCAGGTAGATCTGAATTACCTGCTGTTGGGATGGCAGTGTGGCTCCTTATCTATTAGGTCACCAGAACTCTCTGTGCCTGACACAGTCATGGTATGTTCAATTCCTTCATGCATGTCAGAGTTGGACAGTGAATAAGGAAGACCAAAGAAGACTTGATGTCTTTGAATTATGGTGCTGGAATGGACTAAATAACCCATGGACTGCCAAAAGAACAAACCTGTCTTGGAGGAATGGCAACTAGGCGTTCCTTAGATTCAAAGATGGTGAAATTTCATCTCACACACTGTGGGCATGTTGTCAGGAGAGGCCATAGTTGGAAAAATAAGAGGGCCAGCAAAAGAAAACAAGCCCCTCAGTGAGATGGGCTGACACAGCAATTACAGCAATAATCTGCATAAAATGTTGCACAGTAAGGCAAACAGTCTCCCTACCTGGAGGTCATGATCCCTGACATTACCCCCGATGGTTGATGCCTCTTCTTTTTCGGTCATGTCTTAGATCTCTTAGCTGGCTTATTGCTTATTGCAGCTTGACATTTGCCTGAGGGTCTGTGAAACTGAAGAAAAAGGTTAGCAGCTTTGTGACATAGACATTGCTGAAGAGTTTACTTAATGGGGTGGTTGGTTGAGTGGCCACAGGTTAGACTTGAGTTTCCAGGCCCTGAGAAAGAGGTCAGGGCTTTTATAGCTGTGACAATGAAAAATGGCTTGGTGACAGAGCTCCAGACCTCTAAGGCCACCCCAGCAGGGTGGCGTAGCAAGAGTAAGAACATAGCTTTATTTGGCTCCACAAAAGTCGGTTTCCCTATAAATATTATAGAAATGGGATGTAGCCATCAATACATAAAAGGCAATTTGTTATATCCCAGTCCATGTGGACTGACGGCAACCCCATGCATGTCAGTAGTGCTGTGCTCCCTGGAGTTTTCAATGGCTGGTTGTTTACAATAGCTCACCAGACCTTTCTTCCAAAGTACATTCAGAAGACAAAAGCCTTCAGCCTTTTGGTTAGCAGACAAGAAGAGCCTTGTTTCATGAAGAGACTTCTTTAACATCTGTTGTTAATTGCCTTCGAGTGGAGCATGACTCATAGCGACCCTATGAACAAAAAGCCAGAAGCCCCTCTACAACTATCGACATTTATCAGTCTAAGCTGTGCTAACTAAATGTGAAAGAACTTTGCTAGTTTATAGTGCTCAATAGAAGTATCTAGTTTTTTCTTTATTAAGGAGAAGCATTTTATATTTTTGTCTTTATCTACTCTCATTTTCTCACTGGATAAAAGACTATTAGTAGCAATCGGTGACTCAGGTGCCTATTTTTGTCTCAAAAAGTTTGAGGACAAGAGCTCTTTCTTACATAGACTCTTTTAATTGCCTTAGAGAACTGTTGTAAGGATTGAATTCTTAACACATAATGAGTGCCCTGGAATCATCATTTGCTTCCTCTACCACTCTTCCTTTGTGGATGAAAACCTTTGTCAGTTCTGCATGTTGCTTTGACACAGGGTTTCTGAAAGGCAAAAGGAATGTCTTTTTTTTCTCACCATTCATTTGTTTTGTAAAATAAATATTATGCAACCATCCATTGAAAGAGAACAAATGGCACCATTAATCCTTACTATGAACTTTACGTGACTTCAATATTGTTATGTTTAATCTGCATTTGTTCATTTGCCATCACTGTTGTTGTGTTGTACAACAAAATTAAACTGTCTTAAAAAAAAAGAAATATTATTTGGTGGAGATACTTGTTTAACAGAAATCTTTTTTATTAGTACATGTGCATGTTTCAATACAAGACCCGAAAGAATATACATCAAAATCATCACAAGGGCTAGTTTTGGGAAGGACAGTGCTGGTGGTGGCAGTGATCAAAGCAATGGAGGTGAGAGCAGCTTTATATGCCACGCTCGAATGTTTAATCTCTGTAATAATTATTCTTATGTTTCCCCTTTTTATTCCCGATATTATTATTTGCGTAAAAGATACTTGTAATAATAATATTCTTAAAAAAAGGAATTAAAAACCTGAAAGTGTTATAATAAATTCAAGTAAATAAATACTAACGGATGTTCTTAGCACCTATTAGAGTCTCTTCCACCAAACTTTCAGTAATGAATTACTCTTTACCACCTAAATGTTTGTGGAAGAAAGTCTGCAGTTGATTCCACGCATCTACCTGGGCCATGGCATGAGCCCTGGGCTCCCCTCCCCAGATGACAGGACTGCCTACCAATGTGTGCATGGAGGCCCGGCACATGGGGAAGTAAGGAGGCTCAATATAGTGCCCAGTCTCTGGGTAACAAATGATCTGGGGCTTTTCCTTGCCATGGGCTTGTAAGCGTTTTGAAGCCTCATTAGCATAGAACTCACTCTTCCAGTTGTGGTCATCCAGACCAACAAGGAACAGGAAGGTACACTCTGCCCTTTCCACAGGAATGAAGCTCTTCTGGTCAGGTCCCTCCAGCGGGCTGTTGAGGGCATCCACAATGTCTACAAGGCCGTCTTTGGTCTTCTTGAGTCTTTTTAGGTTGGTGCCTAAAGGGGGCAGGGTCTCATCTTTGTAGTGCAACACTCCTCCAACATTGGCCACAGAGCCATTGATTATGACGGCAGCTGTGATGCCCTTCAGGAATGAGGCCATGGAGAGACAAAGGTCGCCTCCTTTAGAAATTCCAAGAAGCCCAACTCCTTGACCTTTAACCTGAAGAAGGGGCAGAGGCAAGAGAAAACAAATGAATTTATGAACAATTCAGTATGTTGGCAAGTGTTCAGCCCTTGGAAGGCAGGTAGTCTTAAGTTGGAATCTGGGTTCTCCAAAGTTTACCATCATAGGTAATGGACTTGTCCTCCCTCTCTATCATTCTATCAACTATTTTCCAATTATTTTTGGTAACTAGAACATGAGTGTGGATGACATATCAAATACCCTGAACTCTCCACACTTCCAGTCCTCTTTTACTCTATTTGTCCTCAGCCACCCACTCTCACTGTCATATCCTAAACCACTCCACTCATGGCTGTCAAGTCACAGCCAACTCAGCTGACCTTTGACTGAGTTTCTAAATTTATAAATCACATGGGAGGAGACTATCTTTCTCCCACAAAGCAACTGGTGGATTTGAACTGACAGAGTGGCAGGCCTTTGGGTTAACAGCGTAGCTTCCTACTGATGAGGCCACCAGAGCTTCCTAGTCATCATCAATAATGACACCATCTCTTAAACCTCACCTTCAAATATTCTACTCCGATGGCCATCTTAAATAGTTCCAGTTTAGTAACTCCAGCACTGTGCACTCTAGCAAATGTTCTACCTCTTTGAGATTTTAAGAATTTTCCCACTATCAAGAATTCTCTCATATTTTTACTTCTCTCCTTCTATAGCTTAGATTTTTTATTTTAATTTTATTATTTTTATTATTATTATTACTTTTGTGTGTGTACCATCAAATCGGATCTAACTGGTACAGGAGGAGATTGTCCCTCCTTCTCCAGCAGAGCATCTGGTGGATTTGAACCGTGCACCTCTGGGATTTCAGTGCAGCTTCTTGCCACTAGGCCACCAGAGCTCGCCTATAGCTTAGATTTTAAGCTTTTTTCTTTTAAACATTCCCATGGAAACACTCTGAACTCTTTAATCCATCTCTTCCTCAGGTCATGTCTCTGTGAGGTGTGACCCTGTGAATAGCAGATCTGGACTCTGGCCTATCCTATGCCATCTTCATCATCTCTAACACAGCTGGAAGCTCCAAGGAAGAAGCACCTCTGTCCTTGTCATCATTTACTACTTACATTCTGGGTCTCATTCCCACTGTTTGTTTCAAGGATTTTCCTACTGTGATTTCTCTTCCCATGCCTTCTGCATAGCTTTCTTTTCTTCTAGCTCATTCTCCTCAGTATAGCATACGCTGTGGCACTGTTTTCTTCACCCTGCATATACTCAAGTCCCTGCCCCAATTCTCTACTCCTATCCACAGAAAAAAGCTATCTGTTTTTACTCTCTTCCTCTCTATCCCATTCTCTATTAAGTTTTCAAGGACTACTTTCATCAGTTACTAAATGCCGTTATGTTACAAAAAATAAAAGCATTTGATGGGGTTTTTTTCCTAATGGCTTCCCTTGGCCAGCTTCATGCATCAGCTCCTCCCAAATGTACTAGGAATGAGATGATATTATTATCAACCCAATTTTTCAATGGAACAAAGAGTATAGAGCCAATAATTGGTAAAATAAAAACTAAAATTTAACTCTTCCCTATAGACACCCTGACTTCGGTCCTCTAAAAGTTGAGCTCTGAAATGTAAAAAAAGCAAACGTAATCTTTTGGTTTTAATACCCTGATCCTAGAGTCCTCCATATATTTCGTAGTTCCCAAGGTTTTTGGCTATCCCGTTCTCCCTTTAAAGTTTACTGTAATCCAATGCTTTCACATCTTCAAGACCCAAAACAGTAGAATGTTGCTAAATATAACTATTTAAACTGGGGCCTCTGGAGACAGGATCTTCCTTCCTCTTTCCCTTTAATTCCTCAATCCTAGACTTTTTACCAGTATCTTTGGGCTCACTACTAGCAGCAAGAAGCTGCACTGCAATCCCGAAGGCACGTGGTTTGAGGCCACCATCTGCTCCATGGGAGAAGGATGGGCAGTCTCCTTCCATGTGATTAACTGCTTCTGAAAACCCGCCGGAGGGTCAGCTATGGGTCAGTTCCAACTCAATGGTACATAACAACAACATTAGAATTTTTAATACCATAATACCAGTCATTTGGAAGCAGGAGTGGCATCCACTTCCTAATAGCATGCCTCTGGAAACCCTATGGACTTTGATAAATGCTGATAGTTGTAGAGGGGCTTCAGTCCTTTTGTTCATGGGATCGCTATGAGTAGTGCTCAACTCGAAGGCACTCTTAAGAGACTTGGTGGAAGATCAGTTAGGTTCTAGGCTGGTAATTGAAATTGGCTGGTCAAACAGATCAGTGGCTCTGGAAAAGAGAAAAACCTATCTGCTCCTTTAAAAGTTACAGCCTAGGGAGGTGAGGGGGCCCATTTAGCTTGTGACCTGTGTCTAGTGCTGGCCCATCATGTACAGCTTCTCAGTCACGGCACTTCCAAACTCAGCTCTGTGACGCTGCTCTCGCTATGAGCCAGTGGCGGAGATTGGTGTCGGCGCCTATGGGACGTGTATAAGGCTTGTGATCCCTACAGCGGCCACTTTGTGGCCCTCAAGAGCATAAGAGTCCCCAGTAGGGAAGGTACTGGAGGGGGCCTTCCTGTCAGCACAGTTTGGAAGTGGCCTTACTGAGACTGCTGGAGGCAGTCCAGCTGATGAATGTCTGTGTCACAGCCCGAACTGACTGGGAAACCAAGGTAACTCTGGTGTTTGAACACATGGATCAAGATCTAAGGACCTACCTAGAGAAAGCACCCTCACCAGGCTTGCTAGTGGATACCATCAAAGATCTTATGTGCCTTGATTTCCTCCATGCCGATTGCATCGTTCATTGAGGCCTGAAGCCAGAGAACATTCTGGTGGGACAGTCAAGCTGGCTGACTTTGGCCTGGCCAGAATCTACAGCTACCAAATGGCACTTACATCTGTGGTAGTTACACTTTGGTACCGAGCTCCTGAAGTCCTTCTCCAATCTACATATGCAACTCCTGTGGACATGTGGAGTGTTGGCTGTATCTTTGCAGAGAAATTTCGTTGGAAGCCTCTCTTCTGTGGAAACTCTGAAGCTGACCAGTTAAGCAAGATTTTTTTATCTCATTGGGCTGCCCCCAGAGGAAGACTCGCCCCAAGATGTGTCTCTGCCCAGAACAGCCTTTTCTTCCAGAGGACCACGCCCAAGTGCCTGAGGTGGAGGAGTAGGGAGCACAGCTGCTGCTGGAAATTCTGACTTTTAACCCACATAAGTGAATGTCTGCCTTTCAAGCCCTGCAGCACTCTTACCTACAAAAGGGTGAAGGTGATCAGGAGTGAGCAGAGGAGTAGCTGGAATAGGACCAAGCCAAGGAAGAGAAGCTATCATTTTCCTTCTTTGGATGTTTAAGTGGAGAAACCCTCCTCTCCATTGGTAAGGCAATCTCTACTTTAGCCTCTGCCTTCATGCTGAAGGTTTGGAAACCCCTTTCCCCAACTTTTTACAGAGAATATTTTGCTGCCTTAATGATATCCTTCTCCTGCCTCTCCTTTTGAGGCATATTCTTTCCCCCATCTCCCTACAGCTAGGAGTATGCTGTCTTCCCTTCTGTGACATTGGGTTCCTTTTTCATACAGGGGAAAAAAACAAAACAAAGAAACGTCATCTTTTTTAAAAAAAATTACAGCTTAGGAAACCCTATGAGGCAATTCTATTCTGTTTCACAGGGTCACTAGACAAGAAGAAAATCAACCTTACAGCACCTCACAACAATGCTGCCGAGGGATAGTTTCAGTAGCAGGAAAGATGGTAGTGGATACTTGTGTAGAAACCATCTATGAGAAGCGCCTATAAAAACGTACCATTGCAAAGGGTGGGGAGTGGTTGCCATGCATGACTGAAGCTCCATGAAAACCAAGAGTAATAATGAAGACGAGACCTGATATGGAATTTATAAAGTTTAGAGAACTAACCTCAGGGTGAGTGAGCAGGTAGTTCACAGCCTCTTCAAAGTACTCCAGGTGGAGCGTCTCAATGTTCTTGGGGAGGTCGTCATACTTGTAATAAGCCAGAGCCATCACAGCAAAACCCTTTCCAGCCAGCAGACTAGCTCGGTACTCAGGAAGGCCACCTCCAGCCCCAGAAATGTCCACAATCCCAGGAAAGGGTCCAGGTTCTTGGAAAGACATAAAACATAGATCTGGTCTTCAATGGATCTTGGAATATATCTGGATTCTCTCAATTACTAAGCAAGTACGTGAGGGGACGGTTTAGTATCTGAATCTCCCTTCTTTTTATGAGAAAACAGAAAAAGACCCTTCCCAATCCTGTACCATCTTCACAATGTTTATTGTGTTTGTGCCCATTTGTTACATCCTCTTTGTCAATCTGCCCCGTTGGAGGTCTTCTCTTACACTGACTCTACTAAACATTGGGAAAATTGCTGTCAGAGGTCTCGCCAAAGTGCTGAAAGCTATGTCAGTTTGAAGACTAAGGTGCACCTGACCCAAACCATAATCTTTTCAAATTCTTGCTCTGCAGCTGAAAGTTGGACAATGAATGAGAATTACAGCAGAAGAATCAATGCCTTTGAGTTGCAGTGTTGGAGAAGAGTGCTGAATAGTCCATGGACTGCCGAAAGGACAATAAACCTGTCTTGGAAAAGGTGTGGCCAGGGTGCTCCTTGGAGGGAAAACCAGTGAAACTTGGTCTCATATACTCTGGCTTGTTGTTAGGAGAGGACATCATCCTTGGAAGGATGAAGGGCCAGTGTAAGGGAAGAAGGTGCTGAACAAGACAGATTGTCACAGGGGCTCACGGCAATAGATTTAAGTGTGTTGGAGATGGTGAGGGTGGCACAGGATAGGACAGGGTTCAGATCCATTGTTCATAGAGTCACTATGAGTCACAATCAACTCAAGGGAACCTAACAACAACAACAACACCCAAGCGTGATTGGCTCTGCCTGGTCACACGTCCCTGGTGTGAGTCAAAGACCAACTATCCTTGCTTCTAAAAGCACTCTGGCTGCACTTCTTTCTTCCAAGACAGATGGGCTTGTTCTTCTGGCAGTCTATGGTATATTCAGTATTCTTTGCCAACATCCCAATTCAAAGCCATTGCTTCTTCTTTAGTCTTTCTGATTCCCTGTCCAACTTCCCTATACATTGTCCACCTGGCTGATCTAGATCCTTGGAACTCTGCAACTGCTGTTGTTATATACCGTCAAGTCAGAACCAGCCCACAGCTGACCCTCCGGTGAGTTTTTAGAGGCAGTTAATTGCATTAGAGGAGACTGCCCATTTTCCTGCAGAGCAGCTGGTGGATTCGAACTGAGTACCTTTGGATTGACATCACAACTCCTTACCATTACGTCACCACAGCTCCCTTTTGCAACAGTTGTTACTGTTATGAGCCATCAAGTTGCCTCTGACTCATAGCGACCTTATGTACAACAGTCCTAAACCCTGCTCTATCTCTTGCCAACTTAATTTTCTGACACACCTATCCCCATTACACCAGTGACGGAATCAATCCCTCTCATTGAGGGTCTTCCTCTCCTGTGCTATAGATATAGATAAAATACGGCTTTAGTTTCACTATTTTGAATGCAGTCTGGAAAATCATAGGCCTATAGCATGCCAACACACTGGCAGAGAATTTAAAGTTATTTTTCAGATACTTCCCAAAAGACCAAAGGTGACATCACAATACTTAGAAGCTGAAAGTTCTCAGTTGCAAGCCTCAAAATTAGGTGCTATGTTACTTAATCAGAAAAGGACTTTATTACATCCTATTGGTTTGTTTAACCGATTCCCTGTCTAGTGCAAATGGTTAACATGCTCTACTGCTAACCAAGAGTCTGCAGGTTCGATTTAACTCAGAGACACCATGGAAAATAGGCAGGCATGGCAATCTACTTCTAGAAAATGTCCATAACCCCAGGAAAAGGCTCAAGTTCTTGGGAGGAAACAAAACACAAAACTAAAATGTTCTTGGGGAATTCTGTAGTGGCATCAAAAGCCATTTTGTTTCCTACTTGATAATGTCAAAGTTTCAATACAATCAGAAATGTTGAAAGGTTTCAAGTATGCAAAGCCTGGCTTAATCTAAATCTACATTCCTGGCCTACTTCTGGAGCCTCAGTGCTGCAGATAATTATAGAAAGCACATACTACTGTTGTCATGGGAAATTATTTACTGATAACAGTTGACCATTACTTACTCTCTCTAAAAACAACATTTGACCATGTCAAAGGCTAGTGAGGATACAGAGCAAATCAGATCTCTATATAATGTTGCTGAGAATATAAAATGATACAACCACTTCAGCAGGCCATACCAGGCCACACCACTGAGAAGCAATAAGAATCGATACATGGGACAGCACTATGCATCTGCTTTTGAGTTAAGCAAAGTGGAAGAGGTGGGTGAAAAAAAAAGCTTTATGTTGTTGTTGTTGTTGTTATATGGCATCAACTACTCATAGCTCTGAACCCTGCCTTCTGTTGAGCCAGTCTCACTCTCTCTGATACATCTGCCCCCATTGTCACAGTCAGTGGGAAAATCCATTTCACCCAGCTTAGTTTCCTCTCCTGCACTGATCTTCCACCCTTCCAGCCATGATATCCTTCTCCAAGGACTGCTCCCTCCTGGAAACATGCCCAAAGTATGCGAGATGGAGGTTCAAAGTCCCTGCCTCCAAAGTCTCGGGTCACTTTCACCAAATCAAGCTTTTAAAAGAAAGCATACTTGCTACTTTTTAAAGAAAAATAATAATCCTTGCCTCCAAGGAGCAACCTGGTTTTCCTCCTCTCCAGGACAGATGTATTTGTTCTCTTGGCAGTTTAGGGTATGTTCCACACTCTTTTCCAGAACCACAATTCAAAGGCATTGACTTTTTCTTCTGTCTTACTCACTGTCCAGCTCTCAGATGCATGCCAAGTAGTTAGTAGATACAGCACTGGAGGCTTTGCCCTTATACTGGGAAACACAAAGGAAGAGAAACAGTTGCAAACAGCCGTAATAATTGGAACAGAACTTCCTCCAGAATGGAAAGAGAAAAGCTTCTTGAACCAGCACCTTGAACTTGGGTCACAGAATCATACTCCATTCAACAGCACCTAACACCACCACCAACAACAATCACAAACTGTGAGAGAATAAAATTGTTTGCTAAAGCTACTCACTTGCATATCTGTTATAACAATACTAGACAACTAGGCCACTCTGTTGGTTGAAAAGGAGCAGAATTTCAATATATAATTATGCTAGCTCCTTTCTCAATTAAAGGCAAGTTTTTGGGTGAGAGAAAAAGAAACTTTCCTAGACTCTAACGTAAAGTATTTAGATCTGATTTAAGCCATAGTCTTTTAAATTACTTTGGATGCATCTTAAAGTAGGAAAAGGAGTAAAATGAGAGAAGATCTGATACCCTTAAACTGAAAAGAGTATTGAATACACAATGGACTGTCAAGAGAACAAACTAAAGTGCCATAATGAATGAATGGAAATCCAAAGTCTCTGTAAATTTTCATGAAAATTAATAATAATAATAATAATAAAAAAAAAGAAATGGTGAGAGAGGAAAAAAAAGAACAAATTAATCTGACTGCACGGCTTCAATCTGTTTATCCAGTTGCTATGAGTCCTACTTAACAGCATTTAACAAGAATACTTGTTCTCTGATCATCCAGGGGAAAATAAGAGTTTTTAAAAAAACAACCCAACAAACCCATCAAAAACTCAAGAAAACATGTATCCGAAAAGGAGCTATGGACCATATGGCTCACAGCCTCAATTATCCTACGGAACAGAAAAGTTAGATGGAACCCAGCCACCACCATCACTGCTCTGACTGGAGTCATAATGAAAAGTACTTGACAGACAGGGAGAAAAGGGTAGAACAAAATGCAAATTAAAAAAAAGCAACACCCAACTCCGCAGTCAGATGTATTAGTCTGATTGAGACTGATGGAACTCTCTTAGATACCCTTTGTTGAACTGAAACTGTTACTGAACGCAAGGGGTTCTTTCTGTAATCAGTTGCCAAAAAGACAGATTGCAATATCCATAAGCACCTTTTTACAAATCTGGGAGGATAGTGAGAGTCCCCACAAAAAAATGCTTCCTCATCTGCAAGTGGTCATTACATTTTTATACTTGGTTTAGACTTTTTTTAGTTAAAGAATTTCTCTATTTAAAAGGAACAGTTACTGGGTGGGATAGGCAGCAGCTGCAGCAAAAGAGATGGAATGATGTCTCTCACCATTTCATTGGTACAGCCTACCAAGAGGCCAGAAGGCAGAACTTACACAGACTATGCATCAGTGAACGAATGCATGGAAGGTGTTTTTAAAATGTATGAAGAACATCTGAAGAGAATGAATCCCAACAGTCCTTCACTCACATATGCTATCAGTCAATTGTTTGATTTTATTGATGATCTGGCAGACCTCTGCTGTCTTGTTTACCAAGTCAATACCCAGACATACCAACCTTTCAACAAAGACTGAAACAAGGAGATCTATGTGCTCCTTCGTCGGCAGGCCCAACAGGCTGGGAAATAGTTGAATTGGAAGCCTTAGGGAATGGGGGTGGACTTGGAACACAGGTGTGTACAGTGTGCTGTAGTGGGAGTTTTGTATTATAGTACTGTTTCCATTTTGTTACACTCTAGCCAGGATTGAATGTATTAGATGAAATGTGAGATTTGTTCAATCTGAAACCCCTGTTGCCCTTTTTCCCTTTTCTTTCCCCCCCTACTTTCTTAAACATTTTTATGGTGACTTAAAAGGAAGTTGTTCTCTGTCAGTTAATGATGCCAATCCCTCAAGATGTTCATACCTACTTTATAACACTGTATTAAAAGGTGCATTGCCATGGGAAAGTCTGCTGTTAGGGACCTCTCTAAAGTACTCAAGAGCAATGGTGTCTCTCTAGAGACTAAGGTGTGTCTCATACAGGCCATGGTCTT